TGTGTATTAAGTAACTCTACGAAATGGAATCCTTCCTAAGGAGCGAACATTCTGTGGTAACCACGAAATCCCTAGTCTTTTATGGAATTCAAATCCTCATTAATGTGTTCGCAAGACCCCGTCAAATTCAGGGACTCATGTTAATATCTGCACTATTTACTACAGATTTCTAAGCCATTTGAATCCGAACAAAATATTTATTCCTGCTTATAAACGTTATCAAAAAAGTGAGTATAATTTGTTACTGTGGGTAAACTCCTGCGATCATAGAAATTATCTGTCTTCGTGAAGAATTTTTGGGAGTAGCGTTAAACTTCTCTGGCTAATCATGAGATGTTAAAGTTGCGTCATATTGTGATATAATGAATATATATTTTAAATCTTGTCCGTCTAATCACAATAAATTCTTATTAAATATTAAAATATTACAATAATTAACATTTAAAATATTTAAAATATATCAAATGATATTCTTTATCGAAATATTCGATTTACATTACATCTAATGTAAATCGAATATTTCGATAAAGAATATCATTTGATATATTTTAAATATAGATGGTCTAATGTAAATCGAATATTTAGATAAAGAACATCATTTGATATATTTTAAATATTTTAAATGTAAATTATTTTAATATTTTAATATTTAATAAGAATTTATTGTGATTAGACGGACAAGATTTAAAAAATATATAAAAAATATATATTCTCTGGCTAAGCTAAGATTCCATCTGTTCCTCTAAAATAGTAAAACATTTCATACAATTCATGGTCGACGTCGGAGCCAAAATCCTATCCCGAATTCACGTGCTTAAAAGACAGGAGATCTAAGCACTCGGGAGCAAAGGTTCTGCTCTGTAGTTCATTTTCTTTACACTTAGCATCAAACGGCCAAAAAGAGACAGTGCAGCCATCTGTCAGTACCCGTAAGAACTATTAGGGTTACCACACGAACTATTTCATGTAATATGAATCAGAGGTGGCTTCCTACGTAATGACGTCATCACTGAAGACAATACCTCGTGGTCCTTGCATCACGTGATGCTACAATTTGCTTAGACGCTGCTACGGAATTTAACTGTTCTGGTTGATGACAGCGGATGTCTGCAGTATATTTATTTCTATTATATACAGCAGTTTTCTGTATTTATTCTCTCGCGAGAAAACATTTTGTTAAATTCTCTTGGAAGATTTGTTGTAGGTTAGGTTAGGTTTAAAATAATTTCCTTTCCTTTGCTAATGTTACTTCCGGCTTGTTATAATTTCTTTTTCCACATCAACGTTTTAATTCAATTTACTTAAATGAAACATTTCAAGTTCGTTTTACGTCACATCAATGTGGCGAGTATTTGTAATTGTCTGTGAATTGTCTTTGGAGTTATAATTGAAGTAATCATCTTTGAATTTGCGCAGCGTAGTGATGGGCATTCTGGGTAATTTTGGAGGATTTACACCTTGAATAATGATTAAACTTCAGCTGTTGACATTATCCACTACTTTTGGCTCATGAACCAATGTGTGTTATCTTCTGTACATTTGGTCCATCTCTTTCCTGCACTACCTGTGGTTCTTTTTCCCTGTTGATTTATGATTTTTATTTTATTTCAAATTCTCTCCTCCTGCAACTGTTTTCTAAGCCGATGGCAATCGCTTCATCGAAGGAGTGTTATCGTTTTGCAGGGGGACACAAGAGAATGACTACCTCGGGCAGTCGGGCCGAGTTCCTCGCTGTGGACGCCCTAGGATCGACCTCCGACATCAAATATGACCGCACCGGGGGCTGGTTCGTCTCCACTCGGAGGGCGCTCCTCCTAGGTCTTCTCGCCATTGCCTCTATGGTTCTTGTTGGCGTTTTGGTTCACTATCTGGACACGTGCAGAGGATTAAGAACGGTAAAGCTTTCGCGTTGGCTGTAGAACCTCATGAAGAGAGGAAGCATACGAGGTGCGATCGGAAAGTTTCAAGACTGCGCCTATAAAAACCCGTACACTTATCTCAGGTATTAAATTCATCCATCACCCTCGAAGTAGTTCCCCTGGAAGTGAACACAACGATCCCAGCGCCGCTGCCAAGCCTGGAAGCATCCCTGGAAATCTTTCTTTGTCAGCCTGTCAAGCACCATCTGCGATTCTGCCTGAATCTCTCCTATCGTCTCAAATCTCCTTCCCTTGAGCTGAATTTTCATCTTTGGGAAGAGGAAGAAGTCACACAGAGCTTAGAAAGGAAGTTGGGGTCGGTTCTTGCAAGATCTTTGAGCTCCTGACAAACGAGAAGTCAAGGCGATTCTGCTTCTGGTCCTCAGACAGGAACCTTGGCACAAACTTGGCTGCGATGCGTCGCATGTGGAGTTCTTCCTTTAGAATCAGCTGACAGGCCCCATAGCCTATCCCAACTACGAACACGAAAAACTGATGGTAAAGACCTCTGAAATCTTTTTCCTGGAAGACCAAGTACGAAATATGTGATTAACCCCGAGATAAATACCAGTAAGACCGGTTGTGAGGATCAGGGTAATGAGAAGTAATTCAGATCGTGTCAAATGAAGGCATCGAACCTTGGGTTTGTGCTGGTTCTTTGTCAGGTATTTAAATTCAAACCATGCTCATAATTTAAACTTAAATTTACTTGGCTGACAGATTTTATTTTATTAACACTACAGTTGTTTAAATGTCAAAATGCATTGAAATTAACGTAAACTCCATCCCCGGAGAGTCTAAAGATCTTATCCTACAGAACATTTAAATTATACGATCGAACATAATTTGAAATTCTGCATCAGATCCGTTGTTTATGTCGTAATTATTAAATTAGTTAGTGGCCGTGTAAACTCTACGGAGTATTGTCATTAAAATGGATTTAACATCATAAACAGGGTTACACAATACAATACAATATAATACAATATAATATAATACAATATAATACAATATAATATAATATAATACAATATAATATAATGTGATGACTCAGGAGTGTGATACTGCTTTAACGATGTAGGTTTATATTCGGGAAGAACCGGGTTCGAATATCGGCTGG